AAACTATATCACAAAGTTGATGAGAGTTGTAATTGAGAAGCAAGAGGAGGGTTGTTGGGTATTGAAGGGCTGTACTTAACGACCACACATATGTGCCACTATTGAATTATTAATAAATCTTGGGCTTATTATTGTCGATGTTGCAATGTTGTTCTTGCACACTGTGGCACAATCAATATTGTGAAAACAAAAACATTATATACTGGTCGCTGTTGTTGTTATTATTGTTTCTGTTGATGATATCCCAATGATGGAATAATGATGAAACGATTGCGTGTCAACAGATGAGCAGATGATTCAAGCTGATTTCTAAAATAAGTATTTATGTTGCAAAATTATGTTTTCTTTTTTCCTTATTATGTGTGGCGAACGCATAAAATAACATTATCTTTTATAGTCGATTACGATTTATTTATCTTACTTTTGTGCTCTGTTTAAACAGCAAACAAGTGTGGAATTTTTTGTTTATTTCTTTAAATTTAACGCAGAATATGTATTCTATATTTTATTTTTAAATATGGACATTAATTTGTAGCAATTAGGTTGGTAACATTTTAATAGGCTCCTTTTTAATCTTATGCAGAGAAAGAAAAAATGTTTTCGAAATGTAATAAATAAATTTACAGATTATTTACAGTAATTATGAATACTTTAATAATTAATTATTATAGTCTGGACTGGACTGTGGTGTGTAATACTGTGATCTGAACTATAGCCAAGTCTATAGTATGGACTATAATTGGGTCTAGTTTTTAAAATATAGATAAGTCTGTGCTCTGAACTATAGACATTTAGACCATAGTCTGCGGTATTGTTTGGACAATAGTCTTCTAGTCTATAGTCTGCACTTACAATCTGGGCTATAATCAAGTCTAGTATATAATCTGCTATATAGCCTATTGTTTAGTCTGGTCTATAATCTTGACTATAATCTGGACAATAGATTACTTTATAACAAGAACTATAGTTTAGTCTATAGACTATAGTCTAGACTATAATCTAGTCTATAGTCTAGACTATAATCTAGTCTATAGTCTAGTCTATAGTCTAGTCTACAGTCTAGTCTATAGTCTAGTCTATAGTCTAGTCTATAGTCTAGTCTACAGTCTAGTCTATAGTCTACTCTATAGTCTAGTCTATAGTCTAGTCTATAGTCTAGTCTATAGTCTAGTCTATAGTCTAGTCTATAGTCTAGTCTATAGTCTAGTCTATAGTCTAGTCTATAGTCTATAGTCTAGTCTATAGTCTAGTCTAGTCTATAGTCTAGTCTATAGTCTAGTCTAGTCTAGTCTAGTCTAGTCTAGTCTAGTCTAGTCTAGTCTAGTCTAGTCTAGTCTATAGTCTAGTCTATAGTCTAGTCTATAGTCTAGTCTATAGTCTAGTCTATAGTCTAGACTATAGTCTAGTCTATAGTCTAGTCTATAGTCTAGTCTAGTCTATAGTCTAGTCTATAGTCTACTCTATAGTCTACTCTATAGTCTAATATATAGTCTAGTCTATAGTCTAGTCTATAGTCTAGTCTATAGTCTAGTCTATAGTCTAGTCTATAGTCTAGTCTATAGTCTAGTCTATAGTCTAGTCTATAGTCTAGTCTATAGTCTAGTCTATAGTCTAGTCTATAGTCTAGTCTATAGTCTAGTCTATAGTCTAGTCTATAGTCTACTCTATAGTCTAGTCTATAGTCTAGTCTATAGTCTAGTCTATAGTCTAGTCTAGTCTAGTCTATAGTCTAGTCTATAGTCTAGTCTATAGTCTAGTCTATAGTCTAGTCTATAGTCTAGTCTATAGTCTAGTCTATAGTCTAGTCTATAGTCTAGTCTATAGTCTAGTCTATAGTCTAGTCTATAGTCTAGTCTATAGTCTAGTCTATAGTCTAGTCTATAGTCTAGTCTATAGTCTAGTCTATAGTCTAGTCTATAGTCTAGTCTATAGTCTAGTCTATAGTCTAGTCTAGTCTAGTCTAGTCTAGTCTATAGTCTAGTCTATAGTCTAGTCTATAGTCTAGTCTAGTCTATAGTCTAGTCTGATATAGTGAAAGTATGTTCATCCCAAAAGGACTCTTTCAGAGATAAAAAAGACTAGACTATAGACTAGACTATATACTTCTGATATAGTGAAAGTATGTTCATCCCAAAATGACTCTTTCAGAGATAAAAAAGATGTTTGTTCTTGATTAAATCCTAATCGAATCTATTATTTTATAATTTGCGTATAGAAAAATCCATAATTACTTTAGTTGTATCACCAGGCCACGTTATTTGAAGGATGATTAGTTTATTAAAATAATATTTAGTTCGATTTAATGAAAAACCATAAATTTTTATATTTTTGAGAAAATAATCATTATTTCAAAAAATATTAAAAATGTTTACAAGCAAATTTTCCAATTAACTTTAATTATAGAAAACTCTTTAACATTCCAGTTTCAACTAGAAAATTTACAACATGTAGGACACTATGTGGTTAGTATTACTTGCGTCTACATACCAACATTAATTACATATACTGTACACATATTTGCTATTTTTTGTAATAACACTTGGAGCTCATAAAAATAACGTATAAAAAAAGTTTTTTTTGTTTGCTTAAACATAAAGTATATCTTGTTAATTATGAATGAACAAAAAAACGTAAAAAAGTATAAAAATCGTAAAAATAACAAACAAAAAAAAAAATTGTACATTAACCACTTTATTTAAACTGTGGTATGTTGTAGTTGAATGTTGCACATTGAACAAATACAAGTTAATGATATTTATTTTTATGAATATCCCTCTCCTTCCTCTCTACCATTCTCCATACATTTAGTGAATCTAAAAATTGCGTGTAAATATGCAATAATTTATTTATAATTGTCTGTCTCTGTGCTCATAGTAGTATTCATTCTATATAAACTCATGTCAGTTGTTTTGAATTTGGAATGGATGCAGCAGATATTTTAAAAATCTGACTGATGATATTCACAACACACAACATAACATATTATTAATATTATTACTGGTATTAATATTAAAATTATTATTAATATTATTACAGTATGTTGTACAGGCAAATTGAATATTTATTAATGACTGCATAATTGAAATTAAGATTCAATTATAAGTGGAAAATGTACTAATATTTTTTTGAACAGCAAGACTTCTGCAGCCTACTTTTGCCACAGGCAATATTTTAAACATGTTTTTAGGTTTTTATAATAGGGTATATGGCAAATTGTTTAATAAATTAATAGATTTTATCATTGAAATAACACTGCAGTACTACAGTTGCTAAACGGGAAATTCTGAATTAATTAATGAAACTTTTTATTTTATTATAGAACTTGTATATTTTCGTAGCCTGTTTACAAAGATTTTTATTCTTGCAAATTGCAGCGAATTTTTGATTGACATTATCGAAACTTCTTTTTAGAATTTTAATGAATATTTTTAAAAGGATTTTCAAACATTTGGTATAGGTCTTTTGAATTCTTTAAGAATAAGAAGTAAATGGCTAAATTCGTCTAGTTAAGCTCACTATGATATAATATTTACATGGATGTCAAAGTACTTCTTATGAAAAATTTGAGGTTTCTAGATCTAATAATTTCCCAGATATAAGAATTTCTATATTTAATTTATATAGGAGATACCACGCCCCTATTGCTAGACCGCCAATTTATTACCCAAATGTTTACTTGGATGTGCCAGTTGGTCATGCAAATTTTGAGGATTTTTGCTCTAATAGTTTCTCGATACTTTTTTTATTTAATTTATGTTGGAGTTACCAAGGCCCCCTAATGACAGTCCGCCCATTTTCCCCGAAATGTTCACCTCTAATATTTTCCCAGATAAACAATTTTTTATTTAATTCATATCGGGGTACTACGCTCCCCATTGCTAGTCCGCCCATTGTTTTGTCCGAAATATTCATGTTGATGTTAAAGTGTCTCCGAAAAATTTGATGAATCTAACTATCATATTTTCTCATATTTACTAATTTAAGATTATCTTTATATGGGAGGTGCCATGCCCACTATAGAAAGGCCGCCTATTTTGTCCATCATACAAAATTTGAGGACTCCAGCTATTGCAGTTTCTGAGATAGTCGACTTTTAATACTTATTTTGTTTGTGGGCGTGGTAGGTCACCCACTTGAAATTTAGTCCATCATACAAAATTTGAGGACTCCAGCTATTGCAGTTTCTGAGATATTCGACTTTTAATACTTATTTTGTTTGTGGGCGTGGCAGGTCGCCCACTTGAAATTATGTAGGCTATACTTCTTTCAAATCACTTTCTGTTGGTATACGTATCACCTAAAAATATTCAAAAGTCTAGAATAATCAAGGTGTTCTCACAAAATTTCTATATCGTTTTCCATAAGAATTTTGAATATGTATTTTACGGGGTCGCAAAATTAAATTGTAGAAATTCGAAACGGAATGACAAACCCTTCTCAGGAAGGCATAAAAATCAAAAAGCATCAGGACTACATTTTTGTAAAGATTTGAGGAAAAAAGTCAATAATTTGTCGAAAATCGGCGGTATGAATACAAAATTTCTAAAAATAATTGAATCAAGTACCGATTCATTGAGGCTTTTTGGGATCAAAGTAATTTAACGATTTTACATGGTGACATCCATTGGTAATCTTCTATATGAAATATATTCTTAACTAAATACTGTTGGAAGATGACCTTTTTAAGACTACATTCTATTTATATTCCTTCTGTGAAATACTTTGGAACCAATGGAAAACTAAAATTTCGCCGTAAATAATTCGTTAGAATATTCTATATAAATCCGCTACTTAAAAACAAAGTATTCGATATCACTAAAACATTCTTTAAAAATTCCCGTTGTTATTTCTCCAAAACTGGAATAATTACTACAAATTAAATTTTAAACTAATACAGTTTGACACCATTTCAAGATTTGAAAAAGCCATCAAATATGTTACAACCAGTATTTTCAATTAAAGAATAAAATAAAGAAAATAATAAAATCAACATCACTTACCTGACTATAATTAATTTTATTAGCAGCATTTTGTACAAATTTCTCGTTTACACAACCGTAACACAATGTAAGGTGTGCAATTACAGCAAAACACAATAGTCAAACGATCGAATCAAATCGAATGAATGAATGAACTGACGACGAGCACAATTTGAAAATAATCCTTCGAATCAACTTTAAAGTTTACACGCTAAAGTAATTTCAATTAATGAAGTCACAATGATGAATGAATTGTATGAATCGATGAATCACTGATTTGTACAAATGAACATTAAGTTTGAAAAAAAAAACAACATTAAACATTACATTAAAATAATAAAAAAAGTACTTTAAAAAAAGTTTAGTCAGTCAAGCACACACTTTGAACAAAATAAGAACAAAAAAAAAACGTTCAATCGAATTCAGTCAGCAAATATACTGATTGTAATGCAGTCGTTTGTTAATGTTCTTATATGGCTTTTTATAAGGAAGTTTATTCTCTTTAATTTTTTTCCTCCTTTTCTTGTTCTAACATTAAGTTTTGGAGTGTTTGTAGTACAATGTGAATTTTTATTTATTTCTTTTTATTTTCTTACACATACAGAAAAAAACTATTGTTGGATATGGTTACAGCAATCATTTAAAACTTAAAATTCAATGTTATTATGGTCTCCCTTTAATCATATATATAATTGTCACAAACATAATCTGTTAAATTCATTTGCTGTTTATGCTTTTTGACATAATTTTTAAAATTCTCAAACTTACTTATATAACAAATAATTCAGATACATATAGAATTGTTTATTGTAATCATACTCAATAAATGTTTAAGATTGCTTTAGTCATTTGAACGACAAATTTAACATAATATGATTGTGACAAGAAGACATATAATTGTTCAATTAAAATTTTTCTTTGGGTGTATTCGCAGTGCGTTTAGTTTGGTTTTATTTTCTTGTATTACAAAGGCAACGAAAAAACATCAAGTTTACACGTTTGGAATGTCAACTTTACTTAAATGTCAACATTAAATGACAGTGGGTGCAAAACTTAAATGATAACGGGAAATGATACAGTGAGTTGCTAGAGAACAAGGGTCGGGAAATTATATTTACTATATTAGTTATTCTATATGGAATGCAATCATTTCAAAATAGGAAACTAGCGAACAATGTTATTCGATCGTGAATGTAGTAATTAGGCCTAAAGGTAATGATTACATTAACAATTACTAATTAATTTTCGATTTTTTGCAATTACAATTACTTGTAATTTGTCATTGAAAAATAGTATATTGCAATTACTTATAATTGTAGCTATTTTTTTTTTTCAATTACAATTATTTTCATTGGAAATGTAACAATTACATATAATTGTAATTGAAAAATACTTCTAACTATTAAAAAATTTTCGAATTTTTAAATTCTTGTTCTAATAATTAAGAAATATGTATGAATTACTTTCAAATTCCCTTTCTACCAATTATAATTAAAATAATTGTAATTGAAGAATATCAATTACTATAACATTTTATCGTAATTGGTAGAACTTCGATTACAGTTAAAAGAAAATGAAAATTTTAAAATAATTAAAAACAATTACATACTTTTAATGTAATGTAATTGAAATGTAATTGGCCTTTGTAATTGTAATTACTTATATTTATAATAATTTTAATTAATAAATTTAATTCGTTACATATGTCCACTAATACCAAAACTGGTATTTGGCTTTAATTTGAATAAAAATTTAATATAACTCACTGTCCTACTTCATTAACTAAAATTAACTAAATCCACAATATTTTTCTTCTCATTTATATTTTTCAACGCATTCTGGCATAAAATGTCTTATACCGCAACTATGTATGTTCATCCATATACATACATACATACATATAAATGTGACTTAGAATTTCTTAAAACATTAAAAAAGGCTGTAAGTCTACCCACATGCCTAGATAGTCTAGCTGTATATTAATTTTAGCATTCCAGAGCTTATTAAAACTTAACATATATAAAGTAAGCATTTTATGTTTATTTAGCTATACCCTGAGAGTAAAGACTTCCCAAGAAGTGTAAGGGAAGTAGATATAATGCATCTAAAACAGGCTTTGGAAAATTTTTCCATTTTATGATCAGGAAGTTCATTGCTTAAGAATGACTTTCATAAGACATTTTAAAGTTGTGGTAAAAAAGTTTTATATATCACTATATACTATATACAAAACTGTCCAATTTAGATTTTTTTTCTTATACAAGGATTTTATATAAATGGTACTAATACTAGAGAATTTTTTTCTTTTGATATTTCAAGTAGTCAAAGTGCCACACCCACATACATAGCAAGTATTAAAACTAGTGTATTTTAGAAACGGCTACAGCTAGAGTAAATTTTGTATGGGCAACTTTTACATCCATATGAATCCATATGAATCCATATGAATTTTGAGCAAAATGTTCGTACTGGGTATAGTGGGCGTGGCACTTCCCATACACTGAAAATATTGAGTTAGTATTTCTGAGATAAGTTAGTGTCTTTAAAATTTTGTGAGAGCCACTTTAATAATAATATGAATATTTTAGACCAAAATGGGCGGACTAGCAATAGAGGGCCAAATACCCCTAAATGAATTAAGTACAAAAATTCGTATATCTGAGATAGAATCCTCAAATTTTGCAAGAACAACTTTGACATCCGTGTGAACATTAGTGTTAAAAATTGACGAATTAGAAATATGAATTAAGTACAAAAATTCGTATATTTGAGCATCTATTAAAACTAGAATCCTAAAATTTTTCAAAAACAACTTTAATATCCAAGACAACATGTATGAGGCCTCAACTGTTGAATAATTAGCTTTAGTATCAATATGAACCTTTGGTTTAAGAATACGTCCACTAGAAGTAGTGAATGCGGTGAGTGCTAAAAGTCGTAAATCTGAGAATATATAACGTCTAGAAATCGGAAAATTAAGTACGACAATAAAATTAAATTAATTATTATCATAATGGGCGATATCTCGGAAACCATTAGGCCGATTTTTAAATATTTTCACGAATTTGTATTCAGCATGTTCAAACAAAAAATTATTCAAAATATTCAAGTTTCAAGCAATTTTTAGAAAAGGTTGATAATTTTGTACTCAGAAAATTTTCATTTTTGGAGATAGAGAAATTTCATTTTTTTTTTTTAATTTATATCACGAATGTAAGATTTTTTGTTTTTAATGATAAGTTTCAAGTTTTTGCAACTAGTCCTTCAATTAAAAATGAATATGTGTTTGCCATTATTAAAACCTTTACAAATTCATATTCAAATTCATAATTTTGTCAAATTGATAAGGAAATGGTGTAACAACAGACAGATATTACATTATGTAGGATTATTTATTTGTTATTAAAGGTAATATTTTCAAAATTCACATAATAACCATGGACTATCTATAAAATGTCCACTTTACTTGTAGGTTTTTAATACTTGTTGTATTTATCAAACTCATAGAATGCAAGTAAATCTGAAGATAAATTTAAAACTTTATATCTGCCAATAATCATATTAATATCATCAGTCCATTCACAGAAAAGCTAACAAGAACAAGGAACAAAAAAAACAAAGAGAAAAAACTCCTTTTCCTTAGAATTTTACATTTAGACACACACACCCGTTTAATATTTAAAAATGGTTTTTAACACGTTTTTCCTTATTTTTTTTATTTTGATCTTTTTTTTTTTGATTTTTTCGATATTTATTTTCCACGAAAAACTAGAACAATTTACAGTACGATGATGTCAACCTAAAAGTCATTGGACATCGGCTTGAAAAGTAGCAACCAGAACAGTAAAGATAGAACACACTAACACGTTGTAATGTTGCCGTTAAACTGACACGAGTTGCAAGCCAGAAACTTTAATATGCAACAAATCGCATTTAATGTTGCTTCTTCATCTTTGTTTTTCTCTGTTTTTGTTTTCAACACAAAATGTTATTTCGTTCTCACATACACTGCACTATAATAAATGCGAGTTAAATACCCCGAATTGAAATGAACTAAACAGAACTACACTGCGCAATCGTCGCATCAAAAATCTCATACGTACGCACACGATAAAATCTTGTCATAGACTGAAGCGTTTGCATGAATTGTCTGAGCTTATTTACTGAACTTCACCAAGTTGTCTTCTTATACGGAATAGTTGGTTGAAGTTGGTTGAAAAAAAAAAAACTGAGTAAAACCGAAAAAAAATAATCAAAACAAATACATAATAAAGTAAATTCAAGCAAGAATCTTACATTCGATTAGGTCGAATCTTATTTACTTATCACCGTAGTTATCGCAACAGGCATGGATAAGGATTTTAACTACATATAGGAAAGAAACTGTGATCTGTAGAAAACAAATTTTCCTGATTCGTTCACTAATAAATAATGAAACTATAATTGTTAGTATTTCGATATATTATTAGACGTTTAATGGTTATCATCCATTTCGATTCTTAAGAATCCGAATATTTGTGTCATAAAAATAATTTTATATTCGTTACATTCGATTATATTTTAGCGGACACGTCATTTTTATCAAATATTTGAAAGGTCTGAACAAAGCTTTAGTTCTAAAGACCCGATTATATATACATATGTATATTAATGTGCTGTTTCTAGATACCGGTCGAGCAGTTTGAGCACAAATATTACTTGTATTTTGTTATTGTAACAAAAACAAAATACAAGTAAAATTTTAACTCAAACTACTCACACGTTATCTAGAAACAACACATAAGAGTCTAGAACCAGTATATTATTATAAGAAATATCTGAATGTGTTACATATCATGTGAGAACTTAAATATACCCTATATACAGTATAAAGCGTCTAAATAAACTTACGCTGGTTAGTGTTCTTGCTATTGTTTGGTTGTCTGCGAAGTTTGATTCTTTTTGTCCCGAATCATATTGTGATACAATGAAGTCAGTATGATGAGTAGAAAATCATATTTTTCTACACAGAAGGAGAACAAAGAACTGAGAGTATTATTTTATTTAGTTAAAATATTGTAACACTGCAAGAAATTTTAAGTAATCATAACTTTTATTAGTTGAAAGGGTAATATAGATATGAAATTTAGGACTTATTACCGGACTAACGACCGAATTTATTTGTTTATTCACTCCATAGGATTATTTTATTATATATGTTATATATGTATTCGGAATATATATTTGTTTATTACCACCGATTCTGTAATGCATTTGGCAAATCTGCCTGTTTATGAAAGTCAGTTCTTCGAAAACCATATCATTATTATATTATATATGCTTTTAAAAACATTTTTATATAAAACCAGTTATATTGGTTTGTAAGTATCGGAGTTATGATAAAAATTCCGAAAAAAAACTAATTATGAGATTGTGATCCTTAATGTTTTTATGGTATTAAGAGATGTCCGCCGTTCCATGTAAACGTTGTAACCAAATTACGGAAATCGTGAAGATAATTCGATGAGGGTAAACGTACATACAATTTTTGGCTAACTGACCTTTTGATTTTGCTGGAAATCGACCCATTATTTCACCTAGCTCCCATACAACTTTACCCCGATAATGCTTTCGGAGTTGTTAATTAACGTCTTCTAAACATAAATTAGTTTTATATTAGCATAAATCCATTCATCAAATTGTATATTTAACAATATTTAAATATTTAAATAGTAGTCAATTAATATCATAAAATCGGACGATATATGAATGTACGTTTTAAAGTTTTGGTTTGTTTCTGGATTATTTAGCTATGCAAAAAGGTGTCAAATTACAGTTCCGAGTCTTGATTTATATCTACCATATCACACGAAACGTAAATATATTGCATGTCAAAGGTCAGATATATTTTTTTAAATTTTCCAAATTTTGCGCTCAGTGTATTCAACAACTTAAATTCTCTTTTCGAATAAAACTTATGCTCATCCAAACATATGGAACTTTTTAGCACCAATAGTAGTAGTAGTATTTCACCTGCGGCACAACTTCTGCACAACATTTGAGGCACGTATTCTCTTCAGTTTTGTTGTGCTTATTTTGTTTTCTTTGTGATTATTTGTTTTTATGTTCCATCGTTAGCTGAGAAAAGCCGGCATTCTAGAATAAAAAGAAAAACCAACAACTACAACGAAACAAAACTGATAATAGTAGAAGCAACAAAAGTCACGCTTGGCAGCAACAACACCATAATAAAAAAAAAAAAAACAGAACCCAACCAACAAAACACAAAAACAATATTAACAACGACAGGGAACATGAAGTGAAGAAGTACTAGACCAGGCCAAGTATTGTCATGGTATTAGTTAAAAGTGATGAAGTTAGGGCATCCATTCTTAAGTTAGAAAACTGAACCGCTTATACTGCAGCCAGTGCCAATACTAATGTCATTCTGTTGTTGTATTTGTTGCACTATTACCCTGCAGTTCGAAGTAGCTGTTTGGAAAAAGTAAATTTATTTGCCATTTCGGGTTTACTTTGGTTACAGAGTAAGCTAGTAACTGGTTATTGTGATATGTACCTGTCCTAGGAGGAAATGAATTAACTCTATGTAGATAATAATCATATTTCAGTTATCACAATAACAACTGGACCATAGACTCTGCAATATATTACTTGTGGTATGTTAAGTAACTAATTATAATTTACTAAAACAATTGCATTCTCTCTGAATTAAATGGAAATGCAATGAAAGTAATGACTTTCGAGTAAATAAATAGATACATATTTGGAAAACATATTGCCTTAAAACTGCTGGGAACTTTTGACTGTTACAATCATACTTACATGGCTTATGACTTATGGCCATATCAGAGGTGTTTTTCTTTTTATTTATTTTAGTTTTTGTTTCTCATTTTATTTTCACGGTTGTGGTCAAAAAGAAACAAAAACAACAACACACTTACAAAAAACAACATCAAATAGAAAAAATCATCAGCAACAATGAAAACTCTTGAAGTAAATGTTGCCAGAAATAAAAAGTACAAAGAAAAACACTGAAAAACAAAAAAATCATTAAAAAAGCTTTAGGAGAAAAATAAAAATATCCTCTACTAAAACCGCACGTCCAACAACATGATGATTAAGCATGACAGAAAAAAAAACATCAGTATTGACTAAATGACTGACTATAGATCTATGTGGCCTTTAAATATTTTTACCTGACTGACTTTTTAAAATGTTGTCTGCTAAATCTTTCTATTTTTATATCTTTCAATCAAACATTTTCAGATATATTCTTTTAATCAATCGGCTTGCAACCTATTTTAAACATCATAAAAATTAAGATCAAGTATTAGACTGTAAGATAGTCATAACCTACTCCTCTTCTAGTAGAATGAATGCTCTGCATCATATGAACATTAGACCACTCGGGGGTAATCGGTAATGAAAGATCTCTAACACAATTGCTTTTAGGGGAATTTGACGTTTAAGGCAATGAGATTGGATTTAAAATCGTGAGCTTTTGGCAAGGACTCCAAAAATATTATGGGGTATCTCGAAAGAAAGAAGGTAAAAGTAAAGGACAGTAAGTCGCCAAAGTGGGAGTAATCTTGAAATTAGTTTGGCGCTACGTCTTCTGACATAGAACACTTGGCATAATTGCACGATTTTAGACGAGCGGAGTCTGGTGAATGTAAAACACGGGAACATTTTCTTTGTTAAAAATAGATCGAAACATCCCGCGAGCTATGTTATACCAGTCATAACATCCCTCAAGCCCCCTTCACACGAGCACACAAGTAATATGATCTGTCAGAATTTTGTGTAGAAGAGATCGGATGGGATCGTCTAAACGCAATATGTAATGAAACCATCACACATTGAGAGAAAATACGGATGGAAAATTTGACAGTCGTATGGCTCTCTTCATTTTTTGAAATGATTCAAAAAACAAGCAAGTCGTATTAGATCAGGGATGTATTTTTATGTAAACACATACAAAAAAAGTGAAACAACTGTTTCTATCTTACTTTGTTATTGTTTTACACCAATCGTGTAAACACAAAAAATATAAATCATACGACTTTTATTCTCTTTTTTGTCATACGGATGGAATTTCATTTTACTTTTTCATTAGACTTGTCATACTTAAAGTGTGATCGTCTGAAGGGCCCTTTAGGAACATTAATTGAAATATTTTAAAGAATTATCTCTAGAAGACTGAGTTTCTGAGCATCGAATGTTCACTGAATCTGTCAAGTAAAGGATCGTATAACAGGCCCAATAGCGGTATATTTTGTATATATTACCCTCCTTTCCACTTGACCTAAACTATATCGCTGATGTCTCAATTTTATTACCAACATTGTAACTTCTTGGGTAAACTCTTAGATATTCAGTTACATTGTTCATATCGTCAGTGATCGGTGCTGGCGAACGTAGTTCAGTGGTTGCTAATTATGAGGACATAATACTCATATCACAATTGATCGCTGGGTAATTTTCGGGCGGAATTCAAAGCGACATAGTATGCAAAAGATTTCATTATTTTGGTTCAAAACTTTTGATAAAATTAACATATTTCGTTTGTTGTCTGTCTCATAAGTTAAGCAATATTTGATATGGTTGAGATTCTCTTATGATTTGATTTTCGATGGGCGGACTGTCACGTTGTAAAAAAAGTTCTCAAAGATTGATTTTGGTAGTTTTCAATTTATTACTTTCAAGTGATCAATTTTATCAAGATTTTCAGACGTAGCAGAGGTGGTGTAGGTGGAACTTTCGTATCGTTCTAAAAGTTGAGTAGTAGATTATAATGAGAAGTACCTTTCAAATATCACTATATTTCTTTGCCAATGAACTTATGATAGGACTGCTTTAAATAAAGTTCATATCTGTTTATATATCATGCCCTGAAGATGGCAATATAATACAGCTTTTTGAAATGGGGACACTTGAACAAACGTTGTGAATAACTGATTATTTCAACGTCAATAGAAAATATATATTTATACTGTTAAACTGTAGGGTATTGAAATAAATTGCATTAATCATCAAGTTTTACTTTATGATTTACTTAAAAGGGATTTTAAAGATTTAAAGCTAAACCGCAACTTTTGAAGAGTATACGAGTTTTTGAAAGTCTTCAATTACAGAAACATC